CCTAAATAATAATAAAAATAAAAATAAATAATAGTGCTAATCCTCTAATGAATTCAACTTTTCAAAAAGGAAATGGTCAAAAGTGTTGAAAGCCTGCTTTAAATTAACAAAAATGCTAATAAAGTTTTTGATTGACAGCAGTTGATTTTTCTTCCATTAACTCCATGAGAGCCATTGATGTTGAGTTCTTTACTTTAAACCTATATTGACTACTATTTAAAATATTTTGTTTGTATCAATAGATCTGTTGCAAATAATTTCTCAAAAATATTTAAACTATGGCAACAATTCTCACATTTCTTACCGTTCTTAAAAAACAAATTATCTTAGCTATTTTGATGTTGTCTGGAAATATTCCTCTTGAAACTGATCAATTACATATGTAATACCATAACACATTATTTCCTTGACAAACATCAAATCCATTTCTACCCCATCTTTTGATCTTTTGTTTGTTTGTTTGCAATACTCAGTWTTCTTTATCAGTTTCATCAAGTAAAATACTGTAGATCACATTCATACACTGATGGGGCACATCAGATGCAATGAAGGGTTCAGTATCTTTCCCAGGGACACTTCAACATGTGACTAAATGGTGAAGTTGAACCCCCAACTCTCTCATTAGAGGACAAACACAGATCTGTGTTTGGTAATTTGCTTAATTATTCAGCACATAGTCACATATTAAACCAGTAAAGCATAGTTATGCATGCCAAAGCTGATATGTGGGTCCAAGAAATGATTGAGTTCTTCGTAAAAAATAAAATTATGCACGTGTAATAAAAAAAAGGTACATCAGATAAGAAGTCACACCTTTATCTTCCCTCTAACACCGAAGGATAAAGGTGCAGAAGGCAGGTCCAACTCAGAGTTACTGTCTGCCAAGTTTTATTGCTCTCTTCTATTTAAGGATGGTTAATAATGTAATTGCTTAAGTGTGTTTGTTTGTTAACAAAATAGCTCATAAAAAACTGGATAGATCTTAATAAAACTGTCAATTTTTAACATAAGGTGGTTTTGGTCCAAGACTCWGGCACAGAAGACAATGTGGGTTCCTGTGAGGACTATAGGTCTTTAATATTTTTATTTTCTAGAAAGTTTACCTACAATACAGTCCAGATTAGTAGATTTCTAGGACTTGTTTGCATTTCTGTCTTGGAGCTTTTCATGTGAACAATGCTTTGACATCTTGTTATCTTTAGAACTTTGCTCCATGCAGAAATCTTTTTCACAGTCACCTTTATTGACATTCCAGAGGCTTGAAGAAACRTGTGCATGTTCTGTGTAACATTTATACTGTCCTCCTGCATCAGTGTGTTTCACATAACTCTTTGTGCTTGTCTGAATGTGGTTCTGTTTGGTATTCGGATCGCAGAACCCTCAGTGCCTCTCTAATGAAGCACAGAGCAGCAGGCTGAGGGAACTTGTCTCAGCATAATGAAAAGAAATAATGAAATATTACAGTAGTTGTGTTGTAAAGTGCCAAAACATTTTATTTCTATTCCACAAATAAATGCCATTTTACATCAATTCATGTTACAGTATATAACCTAAACATGGAAGACATTGTAAAAGTCAGAACTTCTAACTAGTCCCAAACAGAAATCTGTTATCACAGAATACTGAACATGCAGTAGATGCCTTACTTTCTTCAAGAAGCCCTCTTCATGATGTTGAGTTCTGATTACAGCTCTTATTTTCTGTCAACMAGGGCTGGATGGTGTGGAGTCCTTACAGGTCCTGCAGCTCTCCTTTAACAGGATAGCAACTCTGCAACCAGGAGTGCTGAGTCACCTTCACCAGCTGAAAGAGCTACACTTACAACATAACCTCCTCATTCATCTCCATCCACAAGTGTTCCAGCATTTAGATCAGCTCAGGGTGAGACTGGCTTTGTTTTGTTTTTACTGAGATCTTTTCATTTTTTCTTAACTGATAACGTTTGACAAACAATACGTCTAATTATGTCCTACTTCTATGTCCTACTTTTACTATTGGAGGTTTTATGAGGTTGAACATGTGTAAAAAGCCTTCTACATTTTAATACTGTGTTCTCCTCAAAGGTTCTTGACCTGAGCTTCAACATGTTGACAAGCCTCCATCCAGTGATGCACCTCACTCTGCACAGTATTGGAACGGATGTTAGCCTGGGTGGAAACAGGTGGCAGTGTGACTGCAGCATGCACAGGCTACAAAGGAGGATGGCCAATGACCGCAGCAGAGGCCTGCAGAATTGGAACATAGTGTGTTCTTCTCCCTCCACTATCTCTGGCAGAGATCTTCTGCAGCTGGAGGAGAAGGAATTAAATTGCTTAAATACTGAGAACAGATCTTATTTCCACCAAGATATGATGGTCTACAGCGGCTCTGAGATACTGCTTCCCTGTTCTGTGCAAGGTAACAGGTTCAACATTGTGTCAAAGAGCTAAATAATGACAGTACAAGACAACATAGTTTTACGATTTCCAATYGTTATTACAGTGTTTTTTCTTTTTTTGTAGATTCAATATGGTGGACACCCAGGGGTCAAGCATCTGTAAGCCAGCATAATGCTGATCTGCTCATCCACAACGTCTCAGAAAGAGATACAGGACTGTATGTGTGTGTGTCTAAAGAAGACCAAGTTGTATCTGTTTTTAACCTCCAAATAAGTAGACCAGGAGGAGCAAGAAAACCAAGAAGTTTACCCAGATCAGAGCTAAGTCTCCCACAAGTTCCCCTAAACATGAAAGCAGAAAGAAAAAATCTAACGCAGTCTGATTTAACCCTGGCAGTGTGTCTGTCTGTGTTCATCACATTTCTGTTTGCTTTTGTCCTCGGAGTCCTGTTAAGACCTTATATCGATGTGCTTTGGAAAAGGGTCACCACCAAGAAAAGCACTTCTGCAGCAAACACTGTCTCCACTGTTGAACAAGGACAATATGTCAATGAGGCCTTCTCCAGTGCTGAGGAGCCAGAAGACCGTGGATCCTACAGGGAAAGGAGGGTCACATTCAGCACAGAAGAAAACAATGTGCAGTATTTTGATACTGTAGTGAGGGGTGACAGCATTAGCAGCGATGCAGTCTTTGAGGATGAAGTAGTTGTGTCTGAGCTTCATAACCAAACTAATACAGAATCAGGAAGTGAACATTTACTGCAGAGGGGTTTGGGGGATAAGCAGAGTGATGACAGTCATTCAGGTGACTCTAATGAATGTCGCATCCGCAACAAGGAGTTTGAACACATTCCCGAACCTGAYGAACTTGGGGAGAGGAAAAGCCGGTCATCATCCTCAGATTCGTCTTTGTTGGGAAAACTGTCAGAAGAGGAGCAAATTACCAAGAGAAAACCCACAAAGTCCAAATCTCCTCAGTTGGTAGAAGACTCACTTCAGCAGAGGCTCAATTTGTCTTCAAAAATAGAGGACACACAAATATCCATGGAGGGCAAAATTAAAATTCCCAAACGTTCTTCCAGATCAGTCGATTTTTCATTAAATACAAGTATAACAAATCCATTAGACTCTGATGATTTGCATGATAATGAAGAACTATTTGATTTCAGCGACTCTGCTCAAAGTCCAACAACAGGGTCCAGCAATGTGTTTGATTCTTTTAATAATCCAAAACAATCTCGGACACCCTCTTCAGTCAAACAGAAAATGGAAGATACGTCCAGCTCTAGCTCATATGTAAGTGAGAATGAACCTACACATTACACTGTGAACTCTGACCCAGAGACTGAACCAGATGATAGTAATGGAGTTCAAATTCAGACAGTGGATCCAGTCAAGCACGGTAATGACACAAGAAGGTCAGCAGAGAGACATTATTCCTTTTCTTCTGATTCCAGCGAGAGTGATAAAGAGTCAATGCAGAACAAAAGAAATAGAACTTCTAAAGAAGGAACCACAGAGCTTAAAGCTGTACTTCACAGACGCCAAAACAGGGATTGTTCTGATTTCAGAGCCCAAACACTGCCTAGTGATTTCTCTTCTAGTGATGAAAGCCTAAATGAAGAAATATATGACACACAAAAGGAAAGGACAGGTTGGACAAAAGTTAAATTGTCTCAACCAGTGAGTCCAGATTCAAGCACACGATGGCCTTTAATTGACCTCAGGCATATACCACGCATCAATAGGCGTTTAGAAATCAAAGCAACCTCACCAGCTTGTGGTTTAACTTTTAATAAAGACACAAAGGACAAAACAACATGTCACATGAATAAACTGGTGCAAGAAGAAATATATGAGTCAAATCTTCCAATACAAATATCTCCAAATTCAGCTAAGGAATCAGAAAGCCAGTGGCCTGCTGAAACACCAGAAAGATCTGATACATATTCCAGTAGTGACAGTGAAGATGAAACAGGCCAAAACAACAAACTGGAGCACCAAGAGTTACAAACAAGACCTCCAATAAAAGTTTCTCAAACAATGCCAAAGGAACCAGAAAATTATTGGCCAGCTCTTAATCTTGAGCGAGTAACACGAATCAAGAGGCGACTGGATATCAAAGGGCCATCACTAAGTCAGGATACATCTTCCAGTAGTGACAGTGACGATGAAACAGGTCACATAAAAAAACTGGAGCAAGAGGACCTACATACAACATGGCCTCCAATAAAAGTACCTCAAACTGTGAGCAAAAAACCAGAAAATTATTGGCCAGCTCTTAATCTTGAGCGAGTAACAAGAATGAAGTGGCGACTGGATGTTAAAGGGCCACCATCATATCATGATACATCTTCCAGTAGTGACAGTGAGGATGAAACAGGTCACCAAAACAAACTGGAACAAAAAGAACTACATACAAAAATGCCTCCAATAAAAGTAGCTCAAATAGTGAGCAAAGAACCAGAAGATTATTGGCCAGCTCTTGATCTTGAGCGAGTAATACGAATCAAAAGGCGACTGGATATCAAGGGACCATCATCAAGTCATGATGCATCTTCCAGTAGTGACAGTGAGGATGAAACAAGTCACCTAAATAAACATGAGCAACAAGAGTTACATACAGCAAGGCCTCCAATAAAAGTACCTCAAACAGTGAGCAAAGAACCAGAAAATCAATGGCCAGCTCTTAATCTTGAGCGAGTAACACGGATCAAGAGACGACTGGATGTCAAAGGACCATCACTAAGTCATGATACATCTTCCAGTAGTGACAG